ACTTGAGTCATAGAAAATCACATTAATTTACATCTACCCAACAGCTTTATTTTCTTTCTGTATGTATCAACTGTATTCACGTTAAACAAGTTAGGTTACATTTTGGTTCACTCTAAAAATAGCCCCATCATTATATTGTAAAATGTAGTCCAGTGCCAAGAACATCAGACAAAGTCACCCAGTGCAGGTGTGTTTTCAGTTGCCTGCCTTGACTGTGCTCATCTCCTTCAACAGAGCTGAACCAACTTAAAACGTGAACACAGGGAGTCATGCTCCGGTGCAGGAGGTGTCGGAAGGGTGTCATAGACTCAGCATGTGTGGCGATGGTGGGTGAAGCATTGTTTCACTTTCTATTGTTTGACATACAGTAGTAACAGCTATTGCTGAAACAATGAAACAATTAGCTGAGTGTCAGGTGCTTAAAATGAATTCTAGCTAATCAAATATGAGGATTTGCTGCTTTTCTCTGTCTCATATCTTTTGCAACTGAATGTCTTTGGGTTTTGGATTGTTGGTCAGATAAGAGGAATGTTGGTAATACTCACAGGTAACAGTTTGTGTTTGTCATAAAAATGTCTGATTAGCAGTGTCAGAGAAACTGGGTCTGTTTGTTTGTTTGTCTTGTTGACCCAGGTGGAGGACACGATGGAAAACCCAGCTACTGTTTGTAGCATTTGGCACGTGAATATTGACACAATGCCGGAGTGGATGCTGACCTCAGTTCACCAGGTAAATGTGTCAACTTAGAAATCAAGTTTGTTAAAAGTGCATGTTCACTTCCATTAGGGAATAAATGTAAAAAGGTGGAAAACCGCAAAATAGAGTTTTGTTTTTTGCTCATGTAGACACTGAAATCATAGAGTTCCAAATGTAGATATATGGCATCTAAAGTTAGCTTGTGTATTGTAGTTAATGAAAATCAAGATTGATGCCATTTTAACACGTTTTCTTGTACAGTATGTGTATGCAATTCATACTGTGTGTAAGTATGAAGTGTTTATGCCAAGACATACGGGCACACCTAATTCAGTTCTTTCTTTCTTTTCTTGTTTCTGTTATTTTCTACATTGTAGATTAATACAGAAAACACCAGCACTCTGAAATAACATATTTGGGATTATATATCAAAAAAGGTGTTAAAGGAAAATATTTTTTTGAATTTTAGATTCTTCAAAGTGTCCCGTTTTTCTTGCACACTACCAAGAGCCAATCCATCACAAGTTATTGCGATCTATAGAGCTGTGGTTTTTGTCTAGGCCCAGTGGACTGTGGGAAAACTGAACTGCCAGAACTGTGGAGCTCGATTGGGCGGCTTCAATTTCATTAACCGTAGCGAGTGTCCCTGTGGCCTGGATGCCACCGTCCACCTCAGCAAGAGCCGCGTGGAACGCGATATCAAACATTACGTTCTCATTGTCCAGCCGAAGAGGTCGAGGCCTGAGAAGGACCAGGCAGATCTGCTGATACAGCGCCCTCACAACAGCGAGGAGAGGTCAGAGATAAACAGAACTGCCTTGGACAGTTTACAGCTGAACTGTGCCACTGTCAACCCTGCACAGAGCAAGAGTAAAAACACCCAGTCGTTTCCTTTCAGTCCTCTGTACTGCATCTCTCATAGGAGAAGATGCAGTTTGGAAGATGATGGCCCCTTCAGGTCTTCATGTTTTTGCCTTGCAGGTCTTATGGACAAATCTGTTGTTGATTTGTCAAGGACAAGGGGTGATGAGCCAACACAGTCACCTGTCTCTTTTCCCACAAGTCAGCACTTTGAGACAGAAGCTGACGCTTCACCCACCGCTGCCCCCTGTCTACGTGTCTCTGAGAGTGGACGGACAGCACTGGATCAACAGCTGCTGCAGACTGTGGAGGATGCCCAGTTCTCTGCAGAGAGCACAGCTGCTGATGAGGAACGTTTTGATTCAGCCCCGTTCCTTAGACGAAGACATGTCTCTGACAGTGCCGCTGAGCAGGAGGAGGAAGTGGTGGTATGTTGCTGCTTTTCACAGTCAATGTAACAATACTGCATTAACTGGGTTAGTTAGGTCTGTGCTAGGGATTTTTCTGCTCTTAGTCCTGACATCTCCTGTGTGATTATATACTGTCACTCTGTAATAGAGGAAAAATTTAAACAATCTTATAAAAAAAGAAAAATATAAGTTATAATCTAAGTCAGCCTTATTGTTTTAAGCACATTTTAGCCAGACCTCACAACCTCAAAAGGCTTTTTAGGGTTCAGGTTAGAATTCTGTTCATGTCCCGGTTATGGTTATGGGCTAGGGAATGCATTATGTCACAGAGTGTCCTCATCATTATAGGACTGTGTGTGTGCTACTCTCTCAGCCTCAAGCTTCCCAAGCTTCAAACAGACTGAGCAAAAGAGAGAAGAACCACCTGAAGAGTCTCCGAAGGAAACAGAGGCGGAGAGAGCGATGGTTGCATAGTCAGCTGGAGCAGGTGAGGGACACGAGTTCATGCATGAATCTAAATGACAGCTTGTCAAAAATATAATTACAGCTCTTCTAGAGACTCATTAATAACAAAGTTATGGAAACAATTGGATATTTTTTCAGCTCTTAAACTAGAAATATTCGAAGGAAACAATTTTATTCATATGCATCTTATTTGTTAGTATGTATTACTTAATGGATTTATTATATTTTGCATTCAGTATCGGGCACATACATGTTAATATTTGAAAAACAGTATTTAACAATGAGAATTCAATGATGGTGATAGAAAATGACAACTTTAGTTCTACCATTTTTTTAGCCTTCAGACAAACAAACAATCTGTAAAAATCATAACTGCACTTGTTCTGTTATTGCTGGAAGACTTCTAGTTGGGGACAAAATGTCCCTGTGTGTGTTTTGTCCAGGTGGGGAGTGTGAGCAGTTCACAGCTGGACAGTGAGGAGGAGGACAGAGAGGGCATCACCTGTGCCGTGTGTCTTGACGTCTACTTCAGCCCGCTCAGCTGTCAGCCCTGTGGTCACATCTTCTGTGAGCCGTGTCTTCGCACTCTTGCCAAGAACAGGCCAACACACACGCCCTGCCCTCTCTGCCGCGCGCTCATCTCACACACCAGCTCCCACAAAGGTGAGCGTCCTCCAGGACTTCAAGCCAGGCTGCTGAAACATCTGATCTACTGTCCTTCATGTATCGAGCACCTGTGCTAACTGATTATTTAACTGACCCAAAGTTAAGAAATCATTTTAAAAAAGTGATAATTGCTTACTAGTTATAACTGCTGGCAAACATTTCCTGTCTCCAGCTCCTGAAATGTAAAACATGTATGTTTTCCTCACTGTGCTGTATGGTTCTCATTCCTTTTCAGAGCTCGACCAAACTGCAAAGACACTTTTCCCGAAGGTCTACTACACCCGCAAACAAAACTTCCAGAATGCCCCATGTGCAAAGTGGCCTCTGCCCAGCTTTCACAAACACTTCCATGCTTTCTGGGGTGAGAAACTGTGACTTCTTTGAATGGTGAAGTCTCTGGATTATCCAGGGTAACCAGGATTCTAGAGAGGAATGGTGTTATATTTTCTAAAATGTCATTTGCAACACTGTGAGGGTTGACATGGATGTCACATACATAAAACAAAGTCTGTTTACATACAGTAGCAGACAACACAGAGGTTAGTGGGAAACGTTGTTTTTAATGCCATGTTCAGATGATGTGTTCGTTAATATTTAATGAAGACACCATCATGCAAGAATAAATCCAGAGAGAAAACAACAAACAGAACTGTCCTGTCCCCACGTCGCTCTCTGTATGACTGAACTCATTTTCACTGTTTGTTCATGTTGGACCATGACCCTGTTGGTCCCCACAATAACAAACTCTGTGTTTTTCTTTGTTCACTAAGACAAGCATTATTGTATAGTGAACTTACTGGTAAATGGTAATAGTATTTTGTACAACACTACAAGTGTCCTACGCTGCAAATTACAACAATATAAAAACATTAATTGCAAAAACACCAGTTTGAAGTGTTTTAGCCTCATAGCTATGGAAGTACAGAGCAGCTAATATTAAAATAAAATAATTTATTCACATTTACCTTCACTCTTTTTTGTAAGCATTACTGCTTCCAAAACTGATTAAACCTGCAGTGGATTTTGATTTTAAATTGCAGTCTGAATTTATGAATTTTAATATGAATTATGTCCTGATTTTTCAATTTTGATGAAAGTGACAAAGTATATTACTTCTGTTCAATTTCTCTTGTTTGGGGAAGTTTTAGGATTGAAGTTCAGAGTTTGGAATTAAGATTAAATTAAATAACATATTAGGCTGGAAATGTTTGTATCCCATTGTGAATAAATCACCTCACACAATATCAAACCAGTGCAAGGATATAAGGATTTTAAGAGGATACAATGTTTAATTCTCTAAATACAGATTATAATGTCATCTGTTTAACTTTAGGATTACAGAGACGGCCAGCGATGCGAAGGAGGCACTGGCACCTTGCCCATGGAGGCCTCATGCTGGACGCTATGGACTTCAACGACACCCGCGGCTGGCTCTTTGACATCGGCCTGGTCATCATCTACGTCCACTCAGTCAGCTGGATTCTGGCTTTCTTGTGCCTCTGTTTCATCATGTACTACTTTTTCTTTTAAAACACTGAGTAACACTCAGGAGTTTGCAGTCCTGGTTTATCTGGCTTCTGTTTATTTGAAGAGAGTGTTTTTTTTTTTCTCGTTTCACCTTTTGGCAAATGTTGAACAGTCAAACCTGATATTTCAGTGTTAAAATATGTCAAAGGTGGTCAAGACAGATGTGGAATCTTGAAATGTGTGAAAGCATTTGTCCCTGCAAGTTTAGATGAGAAGGCTCACGTCAGTCTTGATTAGCTTCACTTAGCTTGAAGTTAACACTAGAACCGCCAACAATGCAGTACCTTCTTGAACCGCCAGGAGGTCATTATGACCTCGCACCACTTCAGGCTTTATAATTGCAAATTAGAAGTCTGTTACAGGAATGTTTGGTCATTTTTTCAAAATAGCATGTAAAAATGGATGAAATAAAACATCAGAATTTTATTTTAACAAGATAAAAATCTAAATTCACTTCAGTTAAACTATCAGTGGAAAAATACATGTAATAAAATATGAGAAATTGGTCAAACAAATAAACACATTATCATTGCTCATAAACACTGAACATTGCAATAGTAACAGTCCAGCATAACATAGATAGACAACTTTAGACAACTAGAAACTGAATTTCTTCAGTGTGAAAATGCGGAATTCCTTCTCTAGAGCCAGTGTTTGTTGTCTCCATTCTGGGCTACTGTAGAAACATGGTGACCTCGGTGAAAGGGGACCTGCTCCCTAATGTACAGGGGCAAGAAGAAGTATGTGAACCTTTTGGAATTTCATGGTTTTCTGCATTAATTTGTCATAAAATGTGATCTGATCTTCATCTAAGTCAAGAGTACTGACGAATATAATGTGATAACAACACAAAAAATTCTGATCTTTCATGTCTTTATTGAGAACAACCATAAAAACCTCACAGTGCTAGTGGAAAAAGTATGTGAACCCTTGAGTTAATGACCTCAAAAAAAACTAATTGCAGCCAGATGTGACATCATTATGTAAGTTGAATAGATTTGAGAGATGAAATAACAGCAAAGAAGAAATGTGTTGGACCCGGAGATGAAAGATGATTGGATACAAATACACTTTTGCAAAAGCCATAAGTGAACAGACAACAGAAAACAAAGTAGAAATGCACAAAGAAGCCAACCTAAGAAGATATACTGTAAAATGTAATAAAAAGAATAAATGTAAAGTAAAAACATCATAACAGCTGGTGCATTGTGCTGAGGATGCACACATTTTGTTCACCTTGCCCTGGTATATTATAAGTATTGTCTTGTCACTCCTCATCACTCTGATGTCATGCAGTGGTGGTTTCTGAGGCACAGAAGGTGGGAGTGAACACCTGTTTATGTTCACAGTGCCTACCAGGATGGTGTTCCTTACGAGGAGTTTATGAACAAGGGGGAGCGATGTAAAAAAGTTGTCTGTAGTGACGTTTCTCCCCTTACCTAAGTAAGGCCGCATCAGGCTCATCGCTACACTATACTCATTTTGTTTCTTGGTTGCCTAGCAGCGCCTATTGTTATTTATGTGTGTGTGTGTGTAAGAATGGGGGAATGTGAGGTATTACTATGAAGTGTTTGAGCTGTGTATCTGACTGGATATATAATTTATATAGCTATACAAGTGCAGTCTATTTACCATTTTTGCATTAGGAGTAATGGAGGTCAAAATGACCTCTTGGCGGTTCTAGGTAAAACCACTCTTTTTCGGTCACTCTTTTATTCCAGAATCCCCAAAACGCATAAGATGATGTGTAACACACTTTTAGGAAAAGTCATTGAGTGGGAGACGTGTTGTTTTTACTCAAACAAAGTTACATGCATTTTAATAGTGATGAGAGGTCAGAATGACCTCTTGGCGGTTCTTGTGTTAATAAAGCATAGGTTTACTCCCCAAATCCTCATATATCAAAACTATGAAGAGTCTGCAATAACATGAGTAAACCCTTGTAATTTTATTTCAATGTCATTAGAGAAAGTTGAGTTTTAGTCTTTTGATTTAAGTACAAATTCCTCAGTGGTGAGGAGGTTTAGTTTCTACATGTTTTATTCACAGAGCATAGGGATGCTCATGAACCAGCCAAAACTAAAGATGGCAGCAATGATTCATCAAAAGGCTGATAGTAGCAAGAGCAGAACGACAAAATCAGTCTCGTAAATGGGTCAAACACCCATTTTAGTATGGTGCCATAGTGTAGCCTGTGCCTTCTGTCTGCAGGATAATGTGAAGCCTTTTTCCTATTTTGGGCAAAACACTGACAAGTTTTTATTTTCATATTAGTCTTAATCTTTTTGTTTGCTCAGTGATGGTATAAAAGTAATACTGAATGAGTGGTAATGATTTATGAGTACAAATCCATCTAAATAGAAAACTAACAGACACACAGTGGTGGCTAATGTACGAGTGCCACAGAAGCAGAGGTGTGGTGGACAGATGTGAGATAAGTCAGCATGGCTTTCTTCTAACCATGAAAGCACTCTCACCTGTTCTCAAGCTGCTAATGGTACAGCTGCTTTATCAGCAGGTGAACCTTTAGCTGCTAAGCAGACAAGATATTGGAGGAGTAGTGTATGGTGGATGCCAAACTACGGAGCCCAGCAGGAGTTAGAAAATATGTGAGAATCTGTGTGCTAAATTTAATAATCATGTGTTTAATCATTTGCGAGCAGAAAACTGCAAATGCCAATACTTTATACTGTATTTTAATAATTTATCATTTAATGCTAATGACAGTTGCATCTGCAGTCCATTGAACAGCCAACATGTCTTCTCTACCATATGACCACTACAGGGGGCGTTGTACCAGGCCATGTGAGGAGCACTGGACCTGAACACAAACAGGTGTTTTGCAGCAGAACAACTTTATAGGTTGGGGCTGTCAGCTTGTTTTGAGTTCTTCTCCCCCCAGTGGTCAAAAGAATAAACGCAGCTTTAAATTGAGAACGTCTGGCAGTATTGTGTAGCTACTTTGAAGCTGCTGTGCATGAGCATGTAAACATAGTGTATCTTATAAGTGTGTAGAAGTGGGCTTCAGATGCATTATGATGTCGAACTCCACTTTGACAATAGAAGACATCCCGGCTGTTGTTTTCTGGACCCCTGGTGTTCCTAAACAGTTAACTGTGAGTCGGAGGCTGACGACTTGTTTTGCTGTTGGCTGCCTCTGAATCCTCCTCACGCGTGAGCGCGCCGCGGAAGGCGGAGGAGCGTGCCTTTCGGCCTTCGGGAAGGACTGAAGGTGACTGTCATCTCGGCTGGGATGCAGAGGGAGCTCCTGGGGATCTATCCGGTCCACTACACGGTCCTACTCCGGGGAATAACCACTTTCTCTTGCGAGGGTTTCAGACACCAATCAAACCTTCGACCCAGGAGCGTCTGAGCGGCTCGGTTTTTGTCCCCCTATAGAGAACAGTAGGCTATCTACTAGGAAGAAAACGGGGTAACGTTAAGCTACCTCCCGCTGTTTGTCTGCCTTTGGCTATAGTCTCCAGTGGTGGATGCGCATGCATGTGTTCTGCACCGTACGGGCGCAAAAGGCGCCCAAGATCTGCAGGGAGCATCTTTCCCATCAATAGGGGGGTGCAGACGGAGCCGGAGCGCAGGGAGAGCGCGGAGGGTGCTGTGGACGGCAGCAGGATGGTGAGGGCTGAAATACCCACAGGGAACTGTTGATAAGACGCTTATCATCGTAGCTCTGCACCAGTGGGTTCCTGTAGGTTATAGAACCGATTTCTTCATGTGCAGGTGCAGCAGTGGCGCAGAGGGGACAGCAACAGACGACGAGAGTCATTTTAAGGCTTTTTATTGTAGTAACCTCTTTCCTTTGGAGGTGTATTAATGTCGCTCTGTTTGGGATTATATTTAGATTTTTTTTACTTTTAGATTTATTTTGATTTATTTCTTTACAGACTGTGCAGGAATTCAACACCCTGGTAGCGTTGTACCGGGAGCAGGTCATATCTGTCGGGGAGATCTCCGCCGACTGTCCGTCTCTGCGGGCTCAGATGCACCACACGCGGTCCAAAGGATGCTCCATGGCCCGGGCAGCGCACCGGGACCTCGCCGTTATCTCTGTTACAGGGTAAGAGCTCGGCCTAACCAGTGGGATTGTCCATCCATCCATTATCTATACCGCTTATCCCTGAATAGGGTCACGGGGGGGCGGGAGCCAATCTCAGCTGACAGTGGGTGAGAGGCGGGGGACAGGTCAGCAGTCTATCACAGGGCTGACATGTACACAAACAACCACACACACTCCTATGGGCAATTTAGAGTCACCAGTCAGACTGAGCTGCATGTCTTTGGACTGTGGGAGGAAGCCGGAGAGAACCCACGCAGGCACAGGGAGGACATGCAGTACACACAGAAAGGCAGTGTGTCGGCCCGGGCTCGAACCCGGAACCTTCTTGCTGTGAGGCGACAGCGCTCAGTGGGATTATTAGAATAAAATAAAGTAAAACGACTAGCCTACAAGGTTTTGCTCCGTTTTAATCGAACATGTTTCCTCAGCTGCTCTTGGTGCTTAAAGTGTTGATGTTTCAGTACATTTGTTTTCCCTGTTACCCTGGACCAGGGCCCCTGGTGCATGACATATAGCCTGCATATTACATCTGCTCGTTTTTGAAAGGTATAGCATGCCTAAAATAATAAAAAACAGAGCTGTTTTGATCACATTGCACTTTTTAATAAACCACAGATCATTAAAGAGATACTGTAGGCTATAAACTATAATCTTCATGAAACAAAATAAACAAAACAACAGTTTAAATGGCTGTAGCTGAAAAAGAAGTGGTCTTTATTTGTTTAGCCTCCATTGGAGCCACTGGTGTCCATTTATTTCTATACAGTTAAGCTTTATGGTGTTTTGAAATCTGACCATCAAACATACCTGCAAAACAGCGTAATTGGATTCAAGTGATTATTAAGTTATTCTTCTTGGTATCGCAGTGTAGACTTGTCAAATATACTAATTTATTGTAACATTCACTGTGACTGGCAACATCAGTCAGGTGTGTGCAAGCGCTTTCACAAATGGAAAACATGCTTTATCCAGCTGTACAGTGCACATGCCTAATTGTCTTTCTGTCTCTCTGTCCTCACCCCTCCTCCTCTCCACGCTGCAGTCCAGAGGACGGAGAGATCCATCCTGAGATCTGTCGGCTCTTCATCCAGCTGCAGTGTTGCTTGGAGATGTTCATAACAGAGATGCTCAAATCAATGTGCCTGCTGGGGGTGCTGCAGCTTCACAGGAAAAGTACCTGCACTGATAAAAAAAGCTCAATATTAAATACTGTAAATTTAGAGATGAGGTTAGAAGGGCCCCGGAGTACTTTGAAAGCCAGTTTCCCCAATGCTTAAAATTAGTTTAGAAATGATTGAATGTGATCAACATGTAAACCAAACAATATATAAGTGGTTAAATGTGTAATTTAACACTATTCATATTCAGAAGGCATACCACAGTGTGATTAGTGTCTCAGTGCGGCCTGCTTTTCAAATCTTTGTCCTATTTTTCTGCTTGATTTTTCTGCTAAATACCATATAATATCATTAAATACGTGTTACAACTTTTGTACTACTTAAAATGGATTTAAAATATTTATATATACCACATTTCAGATGATGTGCATTTCTGGCACTTATTTCTGAAATTAACTTAGTTTGGATTAGAAATCATTTTTGAAAGAGCACTTTGAAACTCTAATACAATACAGATTTAATTCAAGTGCAGTGTGGTCATAAAACCTCAACTGAAGTGATATTCCTTTCCCATCTTGGCTTTGGAAGATTTCTGGAGAGATCCAGAGTTGGGTTAAAACCCAACACTGTCGAAACAGCAGAGGGCAGCAGAGAGCTGCTAGGGCGGCCAACATGTACAGAGCTCAGATATATTTTCATTTTATTTTTAAATACGATAAAAAAATACTGTGTTGTTATAAAATGTTATATTAAGAGAAGAGAGCATTTCTGCTACATTTAAAAAACAAAAGTGATGACATTATTATATGCGATTATAATCAGAAGGCATACCACAGTGGGATTAGTGTCTCAGTGCGGCCTGCTTTTCAAATCTTTGTCCTATTTTTCTGCTTGATTTTTCTGCTAAATACCATATAATATCATTAAATACGTGTTACAACTTTTGTACTACTTAAAATGGATTTAAAATATTTATATATACCACATTTCAGATGATGTGCATTTCTGGCACTTATTTCTGAAATTAACTTAGTTTGGATTAGAAATCATTTTTGAAAGAGCACTTTGAAACTCTAATACAATACAGATTTAATTCAAGTGCAGTGTGGTCATAAAACCTCAACTGAAGTGATATTCCTTTCCCATCTTGGCTTTGGAAGATTTCTGGAGAGATCCAGAGTTGGGTTAAAACCCAACACTGTCGAAACAGCAGAGGGCAGCAGAGAGCTGCTAGGGCGGCCAACATGTACAGAGCTCAGATATATTTTCATTTTATTTTTAAATACGATAAAAAAATACTGTGTTGTTATAAAATGTTATATTAAGAGAAGAGAGCATTTCTGCTACATTTAAAAAACAAAAGTGATGACATTACTACATGTGATTATAATTTGAAGTTGTGAATTTTCATTCCTGACATAGAATCCCTGCATAGTCAAATAGTAAGCATTTTAAAAATCTTTTTTTTAAATAGTAATTTAGTTCATGAGTGAGTTATAAGCCAACTAAAAACACTGACAAAAATTATCAACATAAATGTTTCTGTTTTTTGAGACTGTGAATTTTCTGTTTTATGGGAAGAAACCATTAACTGGTTTAAAGACAGTTGTTTTTAGTATTTGAGGTGTTTTTACTGATGGTCCTTCAGGGCTGTTGTCTGTATTTGGTTCTTAAGGAACAGACTCGGAGCCGAAGGTGGACTTCAGGCTGGATGAAAGTTCAGATGTTCCCATCCTGGAGGACCGATCCTCCTCTCCCATCGACTTCCCTCAGGAGCACTGGCTGGTGGGAACTGATATTGAAAACATAGAGAGGTACGCCAACTGTACCTGGTTTTTAAAATTCATTCTTACACTGTTGGTGCAACACAAACTATTTGTTTTCTTACTGCTGCAAATAATTCCTCCAAGCTGCAAAACCTTTCTGCTGATTCATTGTTTCTTTGTGTCCACAGAGATATGCGGGAGATGCGAAACTTACTCAGCAAACTCAGGGACACGATGCCATTGCCACTGAAAAACCAAGGTATGTAATGAATGTGATAGGTGAAGCCCATGAAACCATTCATAAAACTGGGAAATACATCATTCAAACATTCACAGTGCTGGTTGGAAAAGGTAGCCTATCTGTAATTGAGTTACAAACCTTTAGAGCTGCTGCTGCACGCAAACATTTTGAGTTTGTTATTCACAGGAAGCATCTGCTGATGCGAACCATGCCTCACAAAAAAGAGATCACAGAAAGACTTGCATAGATCTGGATTAGGTTACAAACCACAGACAAACTGTTTATAAAAGGAGGCGATTTATTTCGGTGGCTACGCTCCCTAGAAGTGGAAGCTAAGATGACTCCAAAGGCACAACACAGAATGCTCAGTGAGGTAAAACAGATGTCTAGAATAAGGATAATCACCTTTATTTGGCCAAGTATGTTACACACAAGCGATTTCAGCTCATGTATCTACTATTTGCTGATCATTACATGTGGCTGCATAGAGCATGGTGCAGCTTGACACTCCACAGCACTACTGGGAGACTGGACAGTAGACCGTTGAAACATAGCACTATGTATGGTGTAAAAACATCATCCCAGTGCTGATGTATGGTGGAGGGAGCATCAGCTGCAAAGTCCTTCAGCTTCAGAGAAGTGACTTGATGCAGCAGGAAGATGACCCTAACCGCTGACCCACAGAAAAACTTTTGGAGTGTCCCAGTCAGAGCCCCAGTTTTAACCCAACAAAGATGTTGTGCAGTGAGCTCAGATAGCTGTTCATCCCAGACATCCTAAGAATATGTGTAAGCTGAAACAGCTCTGTGATGACGAAGGGTCCAAAATTGCTCCTGAATGATGTGCAGGTCTGATCTGCAGATGCTGGGAGGGCTTGTTTGAGGTTACTGCTGCCAAAGGAGGTTTACACCAGTTAATAACTCCCAGGGTTTGCATACCTTTTCCACCAGCATTATGAATGTTTAATGAATACGTTCAGTCAAAACATGAGAGATTATAATTGTATGTGAGGTATTAGCATAAGCTCATTCTGTTTTTCTATACACGTACAGTAACTGTGATGAAGATCTGATCACATGTTATGACCAGTTAATCGAAAAACCCAGTTCATTCCAAAGGATTAGCGATTTCTTGGTATTGTGTATGTTATTTTATTTACATACAAATCACAGGTTCTTCAAGTTTTACCTTTGATTTTATCAGTAAAACAGTAGATACTGATTTATCTTTTAAGATTTTTTTAAAGACAAATGAAAGAAACCCTTGTTACAAGAGTCATCCCATGTAAACTGTTCCCACTGGACCTTGGAATTTTAGGATTTTGAATCATAATCAAACATAACATTTTCATAGCATGAAGACCTGCATCAAAGCTCAAGCACTATTTGTTTTATTTTTTGTCCATTCAAACCCTTAAATGATGACATTTCCTCTTAGTAATGTTACTTAATGGAACAGTACAGTGCTTTAGTGCGGAAATTCATTGGCGTGATGGTTTGGAAAATGAAACTTATGGATACATAAATCATGCTATTTTAACTTCTCTTTTTTAAACACACTTCCCATGAAGAGGGGAGCATTTAGTTCCTATTCCTAAACATTTATGCAATATTAATCTTGTGTTACTGCACATGAATATGAGAAGTGATCAGAAAATGGAGAAAATGGTTATAGATAAACAGAAAAACAGTTAAAAATATAAAAATTGTAATTGTGTTATTTAATTTTATTTGACTTCCTGTTAATAAATGCACTTGGATTAATGTCTTCAGCCAGTGAAAACAATCTTGACAGTTTTATCCTGCCTCATTTTGCCTTGAAATGTTGTGGACACAAATGAACAGTTTCCATGGAATGACCCAGAAAATAACCTGAATGCTTGCACAATGGTTCTTGACCTGGGGGTCATGATCCCCACGGATAGTCACAATAAATCATGGGATTAGACACCAGAGTAGAAAATATTTTAAAAAGTTCTGCACAAAATCTTTAAAACATCACTTTCAGATGATAAGCTTTGCTTTGTTATTGCAACAAACTAGTTTTACCTCATCAGACCTAAAACTTAACAGAATAGTTTGACATTTTGCTGAATCTCCTTATTTATTTCTTATAACTCTTTTACTCCGAGGTCGATGAGGAGATTGATGCTGAATAGACAAATAAGAATAATGTGTTAGTTAGTGAGCTGACGAGGTGCTAGCAGGCAGAGCCAGGTTTGTTGTTTCTCTCTGTTTACAGGCTTTATGTTAAACTAACCTGGAGTGCTGGAGTAATCATTTGCAAATGTAAAAGAGGATTTTTGATTTGATTTGATTTGATTTATTTATTCTTTCAAGCATGTAAAGACAGTTGATATGTCAACACACATAATTTGACACATATCCAACAAATGCTAATCCAATATCAATTTGCTTATACCTAGTACATGCTTGAATGGAGTAGGAAGCAGTCAGACTTATCCAGTCCTACCCCATGACATCATCTTACCATCATTGGTTTGCAAGCAGTATCTCTACATAAATAATTCTCTTCTACACCACACAAGTAATATACTAAAGAATTATAACAGAGTGTTAACATTCGTACATAATTACATTCTTAAATACTTATCTTCTACACCACACAAGTAATATATTAAAGAATTATTACAGAGTATTAACATTCATACACCACACCCACAATGTTCCATCTAATTAATCATTAAGCCTGTTCTTGCATATATCCTGATTGACACATACCTTTATATTTATGTTTAAACTCGTCAATTCTATTACTATTTTTTATGTCTACACTTAAATTATTCCATAGTTTTACCCCACTTATGGAAATACAAAATCTTTTTTTGGTTGTACGTATAGCATGAATTTTTAAATTTAACTGTCCCCTTAAATTGTATCCCCCTTCCCTTTCATTAAATAGTTTTTGAATTCCACCAGGTAATAAATTGTTCCTGGCTTTATACATAAACACTGCAGTCTTATATTCCACTAAATCGAAAAATTTTAACAATTTAGACTGTATGAAAGCTCCATTGGTGTGATCCCTATACCCCATCTTATGCACAATTCTTATCGCTCTTTTTTTGTAATATATACAATGGTTGAAGTGAGCTTTTGTATGTATTTCCCCAGTTTTCAACGCCATACTCTAAGTATGGTAAAATCAATGAAGAATACAAAATGCGTAGTGCTTTCCCGTCCAAAATATATCTAACCCTTGCCAATATCGGTATATTTTTTGCTATTTTGTGCTGAATATATCTGATATGAGATTTCCAGGAGAATTTGTCATCAAGTATGACACCTAGAAATTTAATTTCATGTACTCGTTCTATATTAGCTCCCCCAATTTTCAATTGAAGTTCATTATTTAGTCTACGATTCCCAAATACCATAAATTTAGTTTTATCTAAATTCAGAGATAGTATATTACTATCACACCATTTCTTTATCTTCTCAAGTTCCTGTGAAACTCGTCCAAAACGTCGCTGTAGGTTTTCACTCGATGCCCATATGGCAGTGTCATCAGCAAACAAAACCACTTTCACTAAATCAGAAACCTTGCATATATCATTAATGTATAATATAAATAATTTAGGTCCCAAAACAGAACCCTGAGGCACTCCACATACAATGTCCAGCTCACTCGATTGGTATTCACCCAACTTCACAAATTGACGCCTCTGTGTCAAATAACTTCTAATCCATTTCAGAACCATTCCTCTGATCCCATATTTTAGATGACATTACAGTGTTATTTACAGTAGGTGTTTGTTTCAGATGACAGCAGCTTGTTGAATCTGACTCCCCACCCACTGATCAGACAGAGGAAGAGACGCTTCCCTGGACTCTGCTGCATGGTGTCTGGCTGAGATCCTGAGTCTGTTGTCTTTTTTGGGATGTATATTTATTAATCTCATTTCATTCTATTAGTATTATTTACAATATTTTTCCATATTATCTGAAATCTTATAGCCTGTCCTTTCTGATTCTCTATCCTAGTTTTCTTTTTCAATCAGATAATTACTCTCTCTGATAGTTGCTCATTTTCCCAAGTTCTGCTGCTCCCTGTCTTTAAGTTTGGGCAGTTTTATTTTGTAAGGTTTTGATCTGTGTTCAAGTTTGGTTATTTTCAAATGTGTTTTAATAAGAAATGTCTTTAATAGACAGCAGAGAAACACTGTCCAGTGGAAAGAAGGAACAGTGTATTGCATTAGCCTGGTGGGCTAACAGTAAGTAATAATGCCGTGATTCCCCTCATAGCCTGTTTTTTGTTTCCTTATTTCATCCAATAAAATGATAAATGTATATATTCAGGCAATGCACAGGGATGATAACATTTTCAGGTGTCTCGCTGTGCATGTCTGAATGTGTCACAGCATAAGATGGTTTAGTCCCAGCCACCTCCTGATGTATTCATATTTATTTGTCACTCAATAGAGAGTGGTGAGTCTCTGCTAACCTATGTGCTGTGACACCATGTAGACAAAGCAAGTCATCTGCAGTATTATGGCGCGTACACATAACTGGCTTCTTAATTAGAACCTTCCACCCACTGTAGGAAAAAAGATCTTTAATTTAATCAGTAGTGCTTATGTAAAATTCTTGTTATGCCAGATGAGAAAACGCTCTTTCAAAGCTCATTAATGTTGAGACATCTTCAGCATCTTTGTTTTTAACCCAATATTTTCAGTGATTCATGATGTTCATCAGATAGTTCTCACTAAAGTTCTGGACAGAGGATGGTTGCCAGTGGTTTTTGTGACTTTGTGATATTTTTGCTGGCAACACATGATCATTTTCCATTCACCAACACTGGGACCTTGAAAACTATTGGCCCTTTGGTATTTCTGTCAATATTCATGATCCCCAGAGGATAATCTCCTTTGATTGTAACAACTCTCTGGACATGTTTTACATTTTTTTCTGTAAAGTCTGTAAGAATTACAGCATTAGTAATGTCACGGTGATGGGTAAACAATGCTAAGCTTATAGTGGAGAGAGAAAAATAGTTGGAGAGTATGAGACAGAATCATACTTTGTTAATAATAAAGCCATAACATTAAAATATATTTATTTTAATTCTCTGTAGTAGAAAACTGAGGGCATAATCCTACCAGACCTAATAGTAACATTTGGCATTTTTTAAATCAAAATATAACAACTTTTTTCTCAAAATTCTGACTTTCTTCTCATGAAATTAATATTAATTTTCCAATAACATTCACCTGTATACTGTTGTACAAATATCTATTGGCATGTTGTTAATTAATCAAATCCTGTATTTTAATAGTCTGGGGTGTAATGATCATTGCGGCCTCAAGGGGACACTAACAAGGCGCTTGTTTAATATGTGCAGCACATCATTAGCGGTCTTCCCAGGAAAATAAAATTTTTGACTTTCAGTTTCAGTTTTCCATCACAAGGGCTTTGTAGATGTTGCACATACAGAACCTGCTACGATAAAAAGCAAAGTGAAATCCAACTGTAAGGTTCTTCATCTGAAGCATTTTAATAGAGCCGTTTCCCATCGAACATTAGTGCGATGTAGTTTGTAAATTTGTGTTGTGAAGTTTTTCTTTAATGTAACCTGATGTGGTGATGTCTAAATTGCTCATTTTTTGTTCTGGCATGTATATGACTCAGACTAGGCCATGTCTTGTGTCTTGCAATGTAGGGATTCCATGGCTAAAACTACTGTATGTACAGCTTAGGACATTTTTATAATGTGAATAAAGTTTTATACCTAAATAAGATGTTGTTTCATACTTTTGTTAACCTAGCAGAACTGTTCAGCATTTTGCTTTCTTTCTGAGAGAGGAGAAGGTCAATATCTCCTGTCTGTGAGTGATGTACAGAGTCATATCATGGTTAGCCTAGCTTTGCGTAAAGACTGACAGCAGGGTGAAACAGCTAAGCTGACTTTGTCCAAAGTGGAAATAACAGGCCTGCCAATAAGTAATGTTCCTACTGCAATAAAGCATCAGCAGTGCAGTTCAGTCAGTGAGAACAAGTTTTCTTTTGACCGTCTAAACATTTTATGTGTAGGAGGTTCCACTTGCCCCCATTTCCTCAAAATATATTTTGATATTAATCGTTTAAACATCTAATCATTTTGAAGTGTTCCATCCTTCAAATTAGAAATATTGTGGAATGCTTTAACTTCTGTTATATAACACATCGAAGAGATTTACAAAGCAATAACCCATTACACCAAGTACTATAATATAGTATTTAATACCATAGACAATATAAAGTGTTGTGTATAGATTTCAGTTATTGTTGCTGTTGTAAATTCATTTATGTGCATTTTACAACATGGACCAAAACAATTTGATAATTGTGTTTACAGCACTGATAGATTGCACAAATATTTGGACAGCTAAAGAAAGTCAGGGGGAGGGCAAAGAGGTTTTAATTGTCAAGCTTCAAACACAAAACATCTGGTTTACATCTCTGCAGCTGGGAAACTCCAGAGCACTTTACTTCCCGACAACAGGGTTATGCAAGAACTTTATTTTCTAAGTGTTCTGATTATTTATATTATTAGGGCTGGAAAGCTTTTTTTTATTATAATGTGTTTTAGGACAGATTGGGCAATATAAGCCCCAAGGGAGGTTTATATTGCTGCTGTCAGCTTGGACACAAACCCCAGGGTGAGAATCAGCTCTGCCTGCAGTGCAGAGCACACTTTCTCTAAAGACTCTAATGTACAGTCAAACACAGGAGCTGCTGCATTATATGCTGTAAGGTCTGCTGAAGAGGACATCACATGTGGTAAGAGTCATTTTTGTTTGTTTGTTTTTTAAGTATGTGTTGGTAGGATTCTGCTCCATGAAGTGACATCATCTGAAGAAAGTAACCTGAGGTAGAAAGTTTAGTATTGCAAAAACAAAAACTTAATTTAAAGTTACTATGCCTAATACTGTACCATAACCCAGAGTTCCTTTGTGCCATTTTGTTTCTTCTTTCTTTTTTGTCCTTTTACTATTAAATGCCTTTTTATGTTTTGTCTGAAAGCATTTAACTCTGAACTCCGTTTATTAAATGCTCTGAGCTTTCAAAAAAACCTACTCTTCATTTTCTAAAACATAATTTGATGTGCTTCAAAAATAAGCTGAGTCTAAATGAAGCAAGTGTAGTGTCGACTGGAAAAGCTGTAAAACAAGACTTTTATATATGTTCGAGAAGAAAATGTTTTAAAGGGAAAATAGCAGATACTGAATGCTGCTGAAAAGCTAGAGTACAGTAGTGGGTTGAGCTGTGCCTCTGTTTCGTGGTTGTCCAGAGGCTCTGACGATTCATGTTCACGTGTTGATAAAGGTTTTTTATGATGTTTCCGTGGGGAGAAATGATGGTACTTGTACGATCAAGTCATTCTTTCTTTTTTGAGCAGAATGCTGATGTTGACATCTTCAGTCTGTTATTTACAGAGCAGGTGAACTTCACTGATGGCCCCTTCCATTCGCTTGGTCCTCCTGCTACAGCTCCTCAGCTGCATATCAACTGGTCTGGCTTGTTTCTGTGACCGATACCCCTGGAGCTCCTGGTCTATCTGTTCCATTACCTGCAATCATGGCACACAGCAGAGACAGAGGTGAGAAACAATACCGACACAAGTGAGACGCAACACTCACAGGTTGGCTTTTGAAGCCAGAATTAGCACTATTACATTTTGGCAATTAAAACAGAAAACTGAAAGAAGTTGTGAAATTCTGTAATCAATCAATCAATAATTTTTGTAAACTGCTGTTTTTAGTTATTATTGTAAAATGCAATCCTAATGCAAATGATGCCAAGAACTGCATTTGTAAAAGATATTTTCATACTTTTTTGACAGGAACTTTCAGTATGATGATTATTACTGGAAGAGCAGCTGCTATCAGCTGTGTGAGCAATATGACAGAAGAGCCTGTAATGAACAGGCCTGTCCAATCAACTGCCTGCTGACAGAGTTCGGGCCTTGGTCCGACTGCTCGCCCTGTGCCAAGAAACAGGCATGAAACACACAAATCACACTGCAAAACACTAATGCATGCACACACATGATTTCCTCTCGCTGTTCCGCAATACAAATGGATTTTTAGCAGGTTCTGATGGAGTGTGTTCGGACTAGAAATCAGATCATCAGTATCCCTGTCATATCGTTGCCATAGTTTCGGACCCGGTCTGTCCAGAGGCCGTCTCAGTTTGGTGGATCTGACTGCAATGTGGAACTGACAGAGGAAAGACCTTGTTACCCTTCTACAGAGTGCAAGTTAGCACCCATCGACTGCAGAGAGGACTTCAAGTGTGATAATGGTAAGTAGAGCTTTTTCTACAAAACTGATGTGCAACACATGCACTTCTCTAAATGTGGTCTTGGTAAAATAGACAATTGTCACTGTCAGGCAGAAATCTCCTATGTCCATATTTTGTCATTTTTTCATAAATTAATGCTATTGATCAGCCTTTACGTCTGTCTGTGAGTTTTACAAACATTTAACCAATGAAAAGCATTAAGAACGACTTGTGACTAAATCTGGTAACCCCACTGGATCCTGAAACTGTTGGCAAAACCTCATATGACTTTGATTTAGGTAAAATGTTGATAATATAATGACACCCACAGGTAAGTGACCATATATAAACACAATACCAACTCTGACAAGTCAAGTCAAGAATCTTTATTGTCATTATGCATAGCACAACATCATTTCTTCCAGCAGCTCTCGGCTTAAAAGGCACATTATTTACATAAATAACACAAAAATTGTACAAGTCAATATAAGAACATGAACAGATAAAAATGAAGATGTATGGGACCTAATCAGGTCAACAGCATATTAGCAGCAGAAGAATATAGTCCCATTCTAAACCTGAGGAAAACATTAGCTAGCCTAACAGCCATGTTTCTGGAACAGTGTCGTGGCTCTGGATTGATGCCCAGGGCACTCAGATGGTGAAAAAACTGTGTCCTGTCTGTGTCTGTCCATAGGGGGGAGGTTGTGTGTGTGTGTGTGTGTAACTAGAGGTTGGGGGGGGATTGATTTCACAGCTCTGGGGAAGAAGCTGTGTCTCAGTCTGTTTGTTTTAGTCTTTATATTCCTGTACCTTTTCCTGGAGGGAAGAGGCACAAACAGAGTGTTGTCTGGGTGGGTGGGGTCTGAGGCAATCCATCCGGCCCTCCTCTGGATCCGGTCAGCATATAGTGAGTCCAGATCCAGAAGAGGACTCCCTACGATGCCCTGAGCTGTTCTCACCACCCAGGTCAAGCCCTGTCTGTCCTGTGTAGTGCAGCTCCTGTACCACACTGTCACACTGAGACAGAGGATGCTGCGTGCGTACACACCACCATGTTTAGAATACGTGATGTTGAAAATTTTTAGATACACAGGGTTTTTCCATTTCCTGAAAAGTAGTCATTTTGGAGATACAAGGCTTCTGCCTGACATCAACAGAATCATTTTTTGCCTAATATTTTCTGGCTGACTGAGGGAATCAAATCAATATCTTTTCAGGCACAGGCCCACTTCTTTAAAATCTAATCTGCTGTTACAGCACACACAAACACAATTACACCCTCAGATTAAGACGCAGTGTCTAAAAGCATTCTTTCTGCTGCAGGACGTTGCATCAACTCAACGCTGACATGCAACAGACAGAATGACTGTGGAGATAACTCTGATGAGAGAGACTGTGTCAACCCCAAGGTTGTGTGCCCAGCAGAGAAGAGAGTGGCCCCTGGGGCTGACCTGGTGGGAAACGGGTAAACTAAAGGTCAAAAGGTCACATTTGAGTTTAGTTTTAATGTTAACGGGCTCGCATTCCTCCCTGCGGTGGCCATAAAATACACTGCCTTCTGTCAAGTGCTCATGTGTCCTGGTTTTCCTCTTAAAGAAACAGATAAGTCTTAGAACACATTCCAGTTGTGCAGTCAGTGTGATATTCTTCTGGCTCTCAGCGTTTCTGGAGTAATAAACAATTTTCAAAGATGATACAAACAGTAAAGACTAAATATGATTAGAATTTTCCTTGATTTGTGTTTGAAGGTTTGATGCTTTAGCAGAGGAGCCAAGAGGAGCAGTGCTTGACAACATGTTCATGGGAGGAAGCTGCATCATCAGGAGGCCCCCGACCACACTCCTATACCATCGAATCCCTCACAACTTTGAGAGCTTTGATATTAAGGCAAATATTATTTTGAACAGCACACTTGTAAAGCTCGACACCAGTGATTGATGTGGGCTAGATATATATATATACAGCCTTTGTCTCTTATATAAGAGACACAAGAAATAATCCAAGCAACTGTATGTGTGTGTTTAATTCCTGACTTTCAGGATAGTGGTATCTTTTTTTCCATGTTAAGCAAAGTGTTACTTACTGTATTTATGTCACAATATTGGGTTAGTAGCCAAATTCAATTTACATAAGTGCTGGAAGGATAAATGCTGGCATGTTACAGCAGGACGAATACTGTACATGACATAGATTAGTTAGAGCAGAAGAGGACAAAATAATCCCCTCTCAACCAGAGGTTAGGTTTGCAAAGAGTCTCTTCTCAGCTTTGGGTTCATACACCTCAGGAAAAGAACAGTGTGGTTTTTGTTGTTACTGTTATGGACTATGGTTTACAGATGTAATTGTGGTTACAAAGGTTGGAGAGGTAGAGGACTTCAGCACAGAGCCCCAGACACTGCACACAGAGCCCATCAGTATGAAGACGTCCAGTTCATCTGAAATCAAAGAA